GCCGGCGTCGCGGCTCCGGCCGCCCCCTGCCATGCGCGCGTCCCCGCGGCGGGGTGCCGGGCGGCGGCTCTCCTGTCAGCTCCGCCGGCGCTGTCCGCTGCAGGTAGGGGCGGGCGGGCGTCCCCGGGCTGAGGCGGCTTCGGGCACGTCGCGGTTGGGTTGTTTCGGTGCTTCGTTTGCGCTCCTGTCAGGAGGTCGGCGCTGTTGGTGTATGGGGTGTTATTCCCTCCTCGCCAATCACGAATGGGATAGCTGTAGAAAGGGAGGCTCCTGCAGAGTGATCCTCGAAAGGTGTATGCATTAAAAAGAACCGAATGCAACAGCAGCAAAACAGACGTGCCAGAATAAGGAGATCTAGCTCGTATGCTCAGCTTTCATCTTATCTTTTGTGGCTGGTGTCAGCACACGTGCTTGCATAATCCTGTAAGTGTTGGTGTTTTGTTGTAGGCTCATTGTTTAACGGGGATCGAGCATCCTGTCCTGTCCATCTGAACAACTAGAGCGGGTTGATGTCCATATCAGAGACAAACACTGTATTTGTCCCAGACACATTTGGCTGGCCAGGCTCCTGGCAATAAGACTGAGTTGGCTTTGTCAAAGGGGCTTTTCTCAGGCTTTACCTGTTTTGGTGATCCATCACATCAATCAAGAAAACACCGATTCTGTTGTATCACGCATCTTAACTTCCTGATAGCAGCAGTTTTTAAATTGCACGTCCAAAGGTACAGCTAAAACCACAGGGGGAACTTATTTTTTTCCCCACTTCTGTATTGTGTTAGAATGTCTGCATGCAGGTTTCAGTGCACTGCACTCTTGCAAGAGCAGGTTGCAGGAAGATGCATTGAAGCTCTTGCATCTTGCACTGTCTTCAAGCTGGAAGCAAGCCGTGTTTGTGTGGTTTGTGACAAGGAACACAGTAAGTACTAGATGTAGAAATTGTTAGGATGAAGCAGTTGTCAGACAGTAATCAGTGTTGTCATGTGTGTTTACAAAATGTGTTTATAAGGCATGAAGTTTGGTTTCAGGCTCATGCACATAGTAGGAAAATGTCTGTTGAGCAGACTGTGTGAACCCAAAGTCTGAAGCATAATGGAACTGCAGTGGGACACCATAGCAAACTATTACTGTATTATTACGTTACAGCAAGAGCTACCTATTTAAAGAGCACCCGGTGCTTTCACAGCAAATATTTTCCAACTGCTTATTGTTCTGAGGTCTTCAGAAAGGTTTGTGGGCCACAGACAGTCATTCATTTCTGAAGTGTTGCATGGAAGAGTACAGTACGGGTTAAAGAGGATACCGAGTATTATCTTTTGAAAAACAGTTGATACCTAAGAGAGTGCATGACTCAGAATTTCTAAGTGTAACTTAGATGTAGGAAAATCATATGATTTGTTGTTGTTGTTGTTTTTTTTAAAGTAGTTCTTTTTTTCAGTGTAGTTGATTGTTCAGTTGTTTACCATTATTCAGTGTTGCTATTACTGTCCTAATATTGTTGATGTGTGTGTGTGTGACAGAAATCCAGTTTATGTCCAGCCATCAGAACAAATAGCTCAGTAGGCTTTCTTGCCTCATAGAGTGACTTGTAGTGAATTTGCTGACCTTTAGGGTAGCAGTGAAATGTGTTAATATGCCCTTTTGCCAAACAAGGACATAAATTAAAGAGTAGGTAGCACTTATGTGAGGAACACTTGACAACACTTAAAATTCGTTGTCTGATGAAGCTGTTGTTGGTTGCTACTCAGACAGCAAAACCACATGCTGGATTTTATTCCACACCTTTCAGAAGTCTATAAGCTTGTCCCATAGTGGTTAGCACACCGTGTTTGCTTTGGTGTCAGAAAGATCAGAGTCCTGTTCTTGTAGTACCTGGCATTCCTAGCAAGCCACTGATAGCATGTTGGTGTTGGGTGATTCCCTCTGCTGCTGCAGTAGCTGCATTTCTTTGGGTTGTGGGGCAATCGGGGATACCTAAGGGGAGTCACAAGACAAATAAATGTATTTCAGAGTGCTGTGCAAATTGTATCGGGGGAAAAATTATTCTTAAAAGGAGTGAAACTAAGAGGCAGTAGATTATGTATGATTTTGTTTTCAGGGACTCAATAGAGAGCACTGAGAATTTGCCTTGTAGCCCTTGTATCCAAGTCTTCAGCCACACTGCACCTGCATTGCATTTAGTTTAGCACTTCAGATCTGAAATTTGGGTTTGATCAGGAAGAATTGGACCAGGTGCCACCTTTCAAATTAGGTAATTGGTGTTTCTCATCTTCTGTCTCTTAGGGTCCTTGCACACGACTCATGCATGCAGTCATTGTAGCTCTAGTTTAAGGAAGATTATGATAATTTGGAGTTGGTTCCTTGTGAGTAAATACTTTTTTTTTTTTTTCTTGGGTCTTTTTTAGCTGCTTAACAGTTGTGTAGTGAAGTGGCAGCACGTGAAGTTTTCAAGTCAAAGCTTTCTAGTTTTGTGGTGGAAACTCAGCTGGTCTTCCTTATGTGAAAAGGAGACGATATAATTACAAGCAACTTGCATTTAGGTTGTTCTTGGAAGATGGTCCTTCTTAAAAAGCGTTCTCCAGATCTTTACGTCAGTCAAAAGACCTGCTTTTGCAACATATAATTGAAAATCAAGGCTTGCTGATTTGATGAGCCCTGGAAGATCAGTAGGCAGTATTCGGAATTTGTATTTCATGTGCTTCAGAGATGTCTGACGAGCAGTTATGTCAGATGCTATAAGGTTGTATGAATAGTCTACATAGACATCCTTTATGGAAGTTGCTTACAGGCGTGCAAAATGCAGCTATGCCACCTTTGTAAATGTCTCAAAAGAGAGACACACGTTTCCATTTCTTCTTTTATTGAGGCCAGAAATAAATTGGCAAGTAAGCAGACTAAAATCAACTTTTGTGAATGTCACCGTGCAGTGAAATACTCACTTCTGTGGTTTGAGTTACTGGAAGAGATCTGTGGAACATGATGCTTAATTTCCCATTATTAATCTGATTCATACTCTGGGATTGTTAGCGTATTAAAATTGCCTATCAGCTGGCTTATAGTCAGTCAACTCTTTCCAGGTAAGGCGAGCAGCACTTCACTTGAATATCACAGCTTCATCTGAAATGCAGGTTTCCCTATGAATAACGCAAAGCTAATGCTGTTGATTATTTTGTAGTCGTTACCCTGCTGTCGGTAACAGCAAAAGCCACAGGGCGTGTGTTGCTGCAAATCGTGAAGGTGGAACTGAAAGGTAAAAATAGCTCTATGTTAAATCTGTCCCCTGCCCTCAAAGATCTGCTGTCAGAATTGGCCCAGAGTGTCTTTGGAGTGCAGGATTTGAACTCCTTAACTGCGATCTTGCTGCCTTATTTGTGTGTGTCTGGGTCAGATCACATTTTAAGCCTATTTTTGCTCTATTCAAAGGACCAGTGCATTCGTGGCATCCCAGCTTTCTAACACAGGTTTATTTTAAAAAGGAAAGGAAAAAAAAATAAAAATGAAAAGGTTGGAATGTCAGTTTCTGGTGTCTTCATTCCAGAACATTTTTGGAACTAAACAGTGAGATAGAATGAATATTCAGCAAGTAGTCTCTGACTTTTCTTTCAAATCCAAGATTTCCTGGCATTGTTTAATCATCTTGTGTTTCTCTCCATTGTTTCCTGACTCAAATGCAATATCTGTTAGTATTTTTTTTTCAAGTTGAGTATAAATGAAACTGAAGGCACAGTGTGATTAGTGGGAATGTGTTGAGGAAGAGAGAAGAGCTTTTTTTTGTTCTGTATTTTACCAGTTGTTGCTTAAGAGGTGGTTCATGTTTAAGTTTCTACCAACAGAGTTAAGACTGCCTTTCAGACTGCCTGATGAGCAGAGTTTGTGTTGATCCTGGTGAGGCCACGTGTACTGTAGGTGTTGGATAAAATTCAGTAGTGGAATTATTTCCTACAGTGAAAGAGGAACACTGCAGTACACATCAGGATGTTTTGCTGTTCCCTTCAGTTCACAGGACTCACTGTTGCATCTTCAGTAAAGTGAGAGCCACTGTACAGGCTTGACCAGTAGTGCAGCCATCAGTATAAAACTTTCACCATTACATTGTTGTATGAAGTGCCCACTTGTTCTGCTTGCTGATAACTCAAGTAAGTGTTCTAAATCACTACAGTACGTCAGTATTATAAAAACATTGTATGGTATCTGAATGTTGTATGGTTGCTTAAGGCCTAGTTGAAGAATAGAATGTTACCTTGAACAGGAAAAGGTGTTTTATGCATTAGTTAGTGGAGCTGAATACATAGTGCACCAGCTCTCTGCTGTGGTGCTGTGAGTTGCTTCTGCTTCGTCTTGGCTGTGGTTTGTGAGCATGTTCTACTTTCTGATCAAATTTGTTTCTGGAAGAAGTCTGTCACACACGTCTTTGTTACATACTTAGCTTAACAAGCCATTAATTTGAGTTGCAAAAGCCTGCTAGAGAGAACTTGCTATATGTAGGATGGAAAAAAGTGACCGAATAATTAGATAAGTGTTATATTTCCCACTGTAATGTTGTTAAATGGTAAGGTTTTCATTGTCAGATGAGCCAAATAGGTCTATATAAGCTAATTGGTTAAAAAAACCCAAACCAGTAAAATGACTAATAAGGTAATTTATGATGAAGTATTGTTGAAAATAAAAATGCAGAAGCACAAGTTAGAACTCCAGTCACTTTATTTTCCTTTGGGTAGTAAGATTTTATCTGATGCG